ATCAAAATTCTATATAGATTTCATCTAAATGGCCATTGTTCTGTGTAAATTTCATCTAAAAACCAAATTGTTTCGGTGGTTCAGTTATGAGATATAGTGATGCGCAATATTACCCTATGCACGTTATTCTCCCGGTCTCCTCTAAACGATTTCGACCAGCTGTCCATGGGAAATTGACTATCAAACGTTCCATAAACGCAATTACGATTTCCATATTGAAAACTACTTTTTGCCCATAGAAATTACATAAACAAACGCCTGTACCGCAGTTTACAACCTTTATGATTCTTTAATTTTTTTTTTCATTTTTGGTACTACAAAGGAAACTACAAAATAATATTTTGGCTAGTAAATTAATGTTCAATGAGTTTTTGAAATTCATTATTTGGTAATCACACTTATATTATTCATATAAATACATATTAGATCAAATTGTGTCATTCGACGTATTTGAATTCATATCATATACCAAGAGAATGGTTATGGAAATGAGTGTGCTCAGAACTAACTAGTTTTTAATATTAATCTATTTAGTAACGTATAGTGTTTTACATGCTCTAAGTATCAGAGTAGTAAATTTATTATAGTTAGCAATAATTTGAATAATTTTATACATAAATGGATTGATGCGTTTTTATTATAACTAGAAATAGTAATTTTTTTTTAATGTGTCATTGACGATTCACGTGAAAATTATTCGTAGGATTTATTACGTTATTAAACTTGATCACATAATAAAGATGAAATATTCAAAGTCAGTCATCAAACACAATAATGTCACCAATTTCCCGTGAAAGCTTTTTAATAAATATTTGCTCGTTTGTTTTATTGTGTTATTAAAAAAATGACGTTTTTTTATTTTTAATAATTTTCAGACTTAAATAAAAGTAACATAAGGATGAGGGTGCAGAGTAATGTAATTTAAAAAGTCGAAGTAGGAGTATTAAACTGACTAAATTTTGTCTTTGGCGTGGGCGGTGTTTATTAACTTAATAAATGTCAAAAGTGAAACGGAGACGTAGCATTCTTCCCTTTTGTATTTTAAATAAACTAAGTTGGTTAAATGTTTCTGTTCGTCGATAGTTTAAAATTCGGTCTAAACTCATTTACGCCCAATTGGTATTTCCACGTATCATAATTACATTTTATTTGGATAAAGAGTGCCGGATTAACTTTTCGGCATAATAGTAATTAAATACAATTTACTTAAATAACCAATAAATCATATTAAGTAACTCGTTTCAACGTTTTTAAAATTATTTTTTTATTTTTAAAGACGTTTATAAAAAATGTGTGAACTATATTCAAACCCCTCTCGTATATTTATTTCTGTGGAATTTTGTGTTAAGCGAAAGATAGTTAATTTAACTACCAAAAAATAATAATTATAATAAACATTCTTAAAAATATGTTATTGATGTTTAAAGTTGAAAAAATAAAAATATACCTAAAGTTGACTAATTTTATTTATTCATTTAAAACTTTATTTTATCGATAAATAGTTAGCGTATCATAAAATTGAACATGGAGAAATATAATTAAAACTTTTATTTAATACATTCTCATGATTATTCATCGAAGTATCTCAGAGATTTGTATAGATTAAATATTTCAATTATTACAATTTTATAATCATATTTAAATGATTATAGTTCTATTCACGAAATAATTAGTTTTTCTATCAGTCGATACACTAAAATTAAATATAATATTTCTAGAACAACTTTTAAAAAGAAAAAAAAATTTCTTTTTATAGCGTATCAAATAGATATGATTAGATAAAAAAAAATATTATTTTTGTAAAATTTTATAAAAAATTATTAAAATAATCTGATTATTTGTTATAAAATTGGTTACTAATAGCAAAAAATACAATGTTATGATTTATAATTCATGTAAGCTATATGTAAATTATTAATCGCCAAAATATGTGTAAGCTAATAAGAAAGCCATAAAATCAAATTATTTATGCGCGACTAAAAAAAATTGAAACGTCTCTAATTATTTTTAAGGAGATTTTTCCTTCCCTCTTGATAAGCCACACCCAAAGAAAAACCTCAATCAAAATTGAAAGAGAAATTTTATCAAGGGTTTATAATAATGTTTTATTAATACGAACAAAATAACTATTCTTATAAATAATTATTGTTCAAGACAAGAAAAAAAAATAATATATTGATAAATATATCATTGATTCAATAGTAATGATATATTTATCAAATTGAACAATGAATTTATTATATAGATCGAGGTTTTTCTCTGGGTGCATTGACAATTTCAACATATTAATATTAAAATGCTCATATTTAATTCTAGTACAATAAATACAAGTAATGGATTTTTAAAAATAATTTCTATACAAAAGTATTGTAATTTTATAACATTGTAATACAAGTTTTAATTTTGGTAAATAAAACGTGAAAAGTTCAGTAATATTATGATTTTAGAACCGCGAGGCCTTAAATATGATTTTGAACCACGACTTTTGGGTAACTGCCGTCTCTATTGCTTTCCTACTTTTAAGGCCGTCCCTGCCTAGAGGTGTAGTTGTAGTTAATTTTTTATTTGTTTACAATATAAAATATAATACTAATAATGTAGTTTTAACAATAAATACTAATATTATTATTGTTTGTATTAATGCAATATATAATTGTTATAAAAAATAATTTATTCATTTTTATATAGTAAATAACTATTTAGACAAAAAACATAAAATTTAGGAATGATAATTTTATTTTTGGCGACGTGAAGCAATTATTTTTTAAAAATAAAATTCAATACTGTTGCGTGATATATAAATGAACACTTTTATGAGTATTATTATAAAATACTTAAAGCACTTATAACTTATTATTGATATAAATTTAAATTTACATACAAAAAACAAACATGATAAATGACAATAGTCCTTAGTAATTAATTAAATTAAGCTTCACTAAAGCAAATATAAGAGCTCAAAAATGTGTTTTTAGTTTTATTTCACTAATATCAAATTGATACCCACCACATTATAACGTTATTTAAAAATACAATGAATTATGTGGATGTATTAAATTCACTAGTATTTTATTTACTTAAACGTCACAAAAATATATTAACCTTATGGTTTTCATTTATTTAAAAATTTTACATAAAAAACGCCTATAAGTAAAAATTATACTAAATTATTATAGCTTTTAAAAATACAATATTTTCTAATGAGCTATTTGAATTCGAAATAAAACTTTGTGTGCTTAGCTTTTATTAGACAGGCTCGTATTTAGAAAAAATGCTGCCAGGGGCAACACTAAAATTTGCCACACCGCATTATTAAAGATACAACATTTTTTCATCATGATCTCTGTGATGACTTTCGTGTAATTTTTCTGTTTCCCTGTTACTCAACATCTTTTCGTCTATAGTGTCCTTCGTTACATCTTCCTCTAGTGTCATATTCAGTAGTCTTTTATGCTGCTCCCAGGTGTTACACTCGAAAATCGTACCATCATGGCTGTTTTGACAGTACCATCATTGCAGGAAGCTGTCACTTTTCCCTTTTTTTTTTTTTATTATTGGCCTTCACTTGGACCTCCTTCTTTTCCTCTCTTTCACTGATTTGTTCAAAAAATTTTCTTTCTTTGGCCACCGTGTCTGCTGGTTGTTACTCCATTAATACAAGCAACGCTTTCTTAGAAAGCGGTTCTATATGCCGACCTAATCCTCAGTGCCATGGCCATTCGGCACTTTTATAGGATTGCGTATCCTTTATGCATATACGGTCTACCCATATAAGTGCTCTGTATAGGATAACTGATCTTGCTACCATATCCAATAGTTTTTTTGTTTTCGGTCAAAATGCCAGTTGGCATTAGTTTAGATAGTTTTTTGGTTGTAGCATCTGCTCTTATTGCTATTTCCAATGTGTGTTCTATCAATTTGAGTTTGCTGTCAATCTTTAAGCCTAAATACTTCAATCTTCTATTAGACTCTGTCTCGGCTCCTGCTATATCTAACTTTACTTTGTTATGCTTTTTTCTATTGGTTATAATTAGTATCTCTAAATTATGGGCTACCAGTTTTAGTCTCGTTTCCTTGAGCTAGTTTTGTATTCTTGCAGTGGTTATCTCTATTTTGTCATTAATTTCAAATGCATATTTGGCTTTACAAACTACCGTAACATCATCTGCGAACGCCAGCAGTTCAACGTCTGATTGCATGTTGACTCACAGACACATTATGTTCCACATTGTCGGACCCATAGAACCTTATAGCACTACAGTGTGAACTTCTATTCCACTTTTGTTCCCCTTATATTGTATTTTTCTTTCTGAAAAATAGTTATTCACTATTCTTCTTGTTGAGTATACAGTAAATGTATGGAACGTGTGAATAAAGGGATACATAGCTTTTCCAAATATTGTCTACATATTTATTGTGAAAGCTTTATTTTAATAAAATTATAGAGAATAATAATAGAAAATGTTTGCATTGCAATAAAAAAATGAATCCTTCAATTTCATGTTTTGTTCATTGCGCCATATTGTTAAAATTATAATGAATATTTCTTGTTTAATTAATATACACGGAAAATTAAAAATTTCTGTCTAAATTTGTTACTAAAAATAGTGGTACATGTTACCAATGAATATGTTTATAATAATGTATATAATAATTGTGAATATTAATTAAATGAAATCTGTGTTTCAATTCATTTTACAATAACTTAATAATATATTAATATAGGTGTAGTTTAAATGTTTGGTAATAATAAGAACCCATAATTAAATAAGTAATATTTATAAATTTGTTACATTTTCCAATTTATGTTCTAAAAGCAACATTTTTTTTTCAATTTTAATAAAAAAAAAGTATTATCAAGTAAATTATTCTCTAATAGTGAGAAGTATCAGAATAATAATTCAAGTATATTCATATACATTGCAAGTGTAATTAATTATTTTGTATAATAAAAAAATGTTTTTTATAAATATCAATTGTAATGTCTTATTTTAGAAAAATATGTTAGAACTTTTATAACTACAAAAAGTATTTTTGATAGTGACGTAAAACTACTTTTATATATATACATACAGCAGTATAATAAACTGCTTTGACATTTAACAAAGTAGTATAGCTACGAATTCCAACATAATTAACAAAAAAACTCATCATGGTACGTAACAATAGTTATTAGTAATTAATTAAATTAAGCTCAATTTAGACAAAGAGCTTACTTTTTTTTTTTTTAATTTATTTCAGCAATCTCAAAATCAATTATCGCACTACTATATTTTTTTACAATATAATTTATTATTTCGTTTTAATAGAATAACAAGATTTAATTTTTGTCCACGTCATCATACCTACAATGTGAATTTTCATTTATTTTTCGAAAAATAGTTTTTTGTTTTTCCGTCTTCTCTGGCACTAACAGAAGCTTTTAAGAGTTGTTGTTAAACATAAAAATTATAATATAACAAAAAGTAGTTAAAAAAAAAACCATTTCGAGTATTATTTTTCAAATTCTAGTTTTTGGTTTTAAGGTCATAATCTGAACTGTTTAACTGCAAATTATCAAAAAAATGATTTTCATTTAGAAACCTTATATTCACAAGTTAAGTGAATTTTGTTAGTTATTGTTAATTAGTTGGTTTATTTCTTACTTAATAAAATAAATAAATTACTTTTATTACATTGCACATTATTTTTTATAGCCTTCAACTGTTATATTTGTTATTTTATTGGTTTTCATACAAGGGAGTGAGAAAGTATTAACAATAAGCGATGATACACCTAATTTACCAAGCTCAAGTTCACAAGATGAAAGTGTACCTATGCTAATAGACTCAGAAATCATAGACAGTAAATATTAACAAATACATTTTTTTTAAAAATTTTATTCAAGCTTTTATTTAAAAGCTATTTATTTTCTTTACTTTTCTTATGCTTAGTGTCTGTTTTATTTCTTATTATGAAACAGAAAGAAAATTACGATACTGCAGTATCGTTTTATGATTTCCAAAAAAAGTATGTTCTAATCCCTTCTTTTACCGATTAAATTTTATTAATTTTAATTTTATAATATAGAATTAAATTTGTTTAATTAATTTAAAAACTAGAAAATTATTCATAATCATCTATAAAAAGCAAAGCATTGTCGTTGAAGCTACTCCTCTCTGTTTGACGCCAAATTCTTTAGTAAAACAATAGACGCACAGTTCATGGATATATTCTAAATAATGTTTCCTTGGGCTTCCTCTTGGTTTCTTCCTAACTATATTTCCTTTGAATATGTTGATATAAAGTCATTGTGTCGGATGATGTGTCCAATTAACTTTATTATTCTTGATACAACCACCTTCATCATCTGACTTTCTTCTCATACTGCTTCTAACACTTGTTTATTTCCTTTCTTGTCAGTCCATTTTGTCTTTGCCATTTTTCTCCATATTCATAACTCTAATGCTTCTAGTTTGCTTTTGTCTTGCTATTTAATTGTCCATGTTTCATTGCCATATGAATGCATACTCCAGATAAATGTTTTGACGAGTCTTTTATGTATGCCATTGCTCAGATATTTATTGGTGAGAAGCTGATACTTGTTTTGGAATGCTTGTATTGCCAATGCCATTCTTCTTCTGATGTTTGGTGTTGATTTGTTATTGGAAGCTATGATACTTCCAAGGTAGCAGAATTCTCTGACCTGTTGTAACCGTGTATTATCTATTTGTATATTCAGATTGCAATTTGAGTAATTCTTACTATAAGCATTGTTTTGGTTTTCATATAATTTATTTTCATTTTAAAATTATCAAGTGCACTAGAATTTTTTCCATATTATATTTGTCATTTTCAGACTCTGCTAAGATGACAATTTCATCCGCAATGCGGATACAGTGTATATGCTGGCCATTCATTTTCACTCCATTTTTTTGCTAATTGATTTTTTATGACATCGATATTAGCAGGTACACAGCATTGTTATTATCAATGATAGTAAGGTACATTGTTGTGAGTTTATAAATACACTAACTGACAATACAAAAAGTATATCTATTGATAGTTATAATTGATAATAAACAATCTGTGGCTGTGACAGCAATATCATAGAAAACCAATTAGCTACCTGTATTTATAATCCCTTGTATATTATACCTGTATATTAACTCAAAAATTTGAAACTTTGAATGATTATATCTAATAAACGAATTGTTATATCAAAAATCCAAATGCCATTTACTATTAAATTAAAAACTCAAACATTTTATTAAATAAAAAATATGTGTTACCATTTAAAAAAACAAAGTTGACCCCCTTACAAGGCATAAGGGATGAACTTAAAAAGTATTACATAGTTAATAATTCAAGAATAATGTGTAACTAAAGATAATAAAAAAAAAAAAATGTTTAAATTATTATTATTCTATAAGTAATTGAGTGGGTTATGATAAAAAAATCACCCTGTATATATAAATATTTGTATGTGTAATGTGATTCTGTATAAGTAATTAAATGAAAATTTTGTCCTTATATTTAATAAAGTACGTTTTTATTATTTTTTCTATACTTTGATTGCAAATTTTGAAAAGACTTATTGACTTGTGTATATTACAGACATTTTTAGAGGGGTCAGGTGTGGAATTTAAGGGACATTATTTAATTTTTCTGAAAATTAGATTTGTTCAAAATATTTTAATCACACAAAAATAAATGAAGGCTTTAGGTTGACTTATATCACTATCACTCTAATCTTCCTCTTTACACATATATGTAATAAAATAACTCTAATTAAATTAGTTAATCTTATGTTATTTTTTACACTTTGAAAAATAATTTTTTTTTTAGCTTGTCCAATATGTCTTGACGACATGAAAAAGCGTCAGGATATTACGCTGGTCGATGAGTGTTGTAGAAAGTCATATCATGCATCATGTTTAAATACATGGAAAGAAAAATCAAATACATGTCCAAGCTGTCGAGGAAGTCTAAATCAAAGTGAAACATTTTTACTTTATTTAAATTAATTCATTAAGCAACTATATATCGTATTGCATTTTATAGTAGTATAATGAAGAGCATATTTTAAAATTAGTGAAAGGGGTTATTAAACAATGCAATTCTAAATTTTTTAAATGTTCAAATCGATTCGACACAAAACACAATACAGACTGATTCAACAATTTTGTTCTTATAATTATTTTTGTACGATCAACTGTTTATTGTTTGCAACATGTTCAAAATTTAAATGTTATTTTTCTGTTTTAAATTCATTTTTTTATGATGTCACATAAATTAATTTTTATTCAATAAGAAAAGACAAATAAGATAGTAGTAATAGTTTATGATACGCTAAATGAGAGATGAAAATAATAAGATTATTAACGACAAATTTTTATTTGAAATCCAAATCTATAAAAAATCTAAAACGCAAACGGTTGATTGTATAAAAAAAATGATATGAGCTAAGATGTTCGTAATTATTTTACATATTTATCATATTACTAAGTTAAAAATATGGGTTTTCATCATTTAAGAAAAACAGTTAAAGTATTTGATCCTTGAATTTATGAAAAAAAATGGTTTAACTAAATATTATTGTAACAAAGTTTTTCTTTTTACAAAAATTTAAAACTCTTAATAGTTTTTGAGCAAATGAAAGTTTTACCGAATTTGGATCACTTTGTATAATATATATAAGATTTAAAGTAACTCAATGTTAGACAAACGTTTACAAATCTTAGCCGATCGAATATGAATAAATCATTCCCGACCGTCTCAAATTCGCAAACGTTGACAAACTTTAGTAAAATTTCGTGAAAATTCGACAAACTAGCAGTTTGTTTACAATGAAATAGAATACATAAAACATAATTTTAGATTTGAAATACTTTGAAGTTTAATTGTTAAAATTATAGTTATGTATAATAGTTATTTCAATAGTTTCAAAAATGATTTAAAAGTATGCCTATAAAGAAATTATAAAGAATCCGTTAAGTAAAATGATAAGAAAGGCTACAAACGTTACCAATAGTTCAAAACTAATAATTTAAAAAAGTTCAAGTTTTTCATTGAAACTTCAAACCCTAAAATACTCAAACTATATGCTTTGCTAAAAATATATAAACTGGGTAATAATATAAGTACTATTGTGTCAAATATTACTGTTCCAACTTATAATTTGATTAAATACTTAGTAAAGGGGTTTTCATTTATTTAAAAATGCTATAGCATTTAGTTAAACTTAATATTAACTTAGATGAAAAATTATCGGGTTACGCTTTTCAATATAATGATAAATTGATTTCTTTCAACGTAGTAGTATGTACAGCAATGGGAAATTCTTTATCGCCATTTTTAGCAGAATTGTTCATAAGTAAGGTTCAAAAAAAAAAACTTGTACTTTTTTCGAAGTTTGGGTTAGGTATGTGGAGGAAATTTTTGCAGTAATAAACAAAGATTTTAATACGGAGATCTTCATACAACATTTAAATTTTCATCTATCAATTAAATTCTCCTAAGAACAGGAAGTATAGTGAAAATTACTTTTTTGGTTTTATATTAATTAAAAGTGTAAGGGTATTTAAATTTTGAAATTTATCAGAAAAATATACTTATGGTCAGGTACATTCCGAACAATTTGAACGACAGCTGGAAACAAAAAATGGTAGCTTTTAATAGTATGGTTTACAGATAATTAATATTCCAATAAATAATGTAATTTTGATAAATAATCGGGAGCTATAAAAGAAATAGTTTGATAAAATGGGTATGGAGAAAACGTAATTTAAAAATTAGTTCGAACACAAAAGTGGAATGTATGGGTTAGGGTTAAAATCGCTTAAGAAACTAAAAATCAAGAAGTTGATAAATCCTGTGGCTTAAAATTTATTGATAACACATAATTACTCCATTAAAACTATAAAACTAGCTAAAAACGTAAATATTTACAAAAAATTTATTATAAGGGAGGCAAAAGAAATGTTTAAAATCAAGAATAATTGAATTAGCTATACTTAAAATGCTCATATTTGTACACAAATAGATTAACAAACATAACAATATTTAGCTGGTTAGTCCAATAATTAGAAATTCAATTTATTCTATCTATCATAAATGTTGAGAATAATTTATAATAATTTATAGAACTATAGTCCTATAAGTTACTATAGATTTTACTTTTATGATGTTTTTGCACTATTTTGTCAACTAAATGTTGATGGGACAAATAAATAAAATTGAAAATAATTATTGAGAAATTTTATGTGTAATTGTAAATTAAAATTATAAGGTTATCATTCAATTAATATAGATTCATATTTTTTCAGTATGTTCTTTATGTAATGCGAAAACAAAACTTACTACAAGATTGTTCTGTTGTGGAAGAATCTATTGTGACAAATGTCTTTATTATAGTTATAGAAAAACGTGTCCATGCGGAAGTGATATAGCAAAAGGTACATTACAAAGAAATATAAAACAAATTAATTAAATGCATTCGTAAATCGAATAAATATTAGTTTAAGGGTAAGGTATTTGAGGATACAAGAATGTAAATTTTCTTTTTAAATGATTTTGTTGGTATTCTTGAGCTAGTAGCATTTTATTGTTTAATCTTTTGTTTTTTTATTGTAAGAAAAAAATATTATTTTTATAATAAGTTGCAATGATACTCTAAAATTGTAGCTTTATCAAATTTAATTGGCTCGATAATATTTTAGGTATTCCTTACGATGGTTTCCGCAAATGTTCGGATTGCACAAACGTTGGGGTGAGAAGCTTTTCTCATCGCTGTCCACATACTTATTGTGAGGAATGCTTTAACAAAATGAGTAATAGCCCTATGAATGCCTGTCTGCATTGTGGCGAAAAAGAACTATAAAATCATGTTTAAAATGTTTAAATAAATTCTATAACTTTAAAATATTTGTCTTATTTAAAATTATTAAATTTTTAAATTCATTAAAAAATTGAAATAAAATAAAAATTCAATAAAATTTTAATAAGATGATTAAAAACTAATTGGTAACTATTATTTTTTCTACACATTTCGTGCATGTATGTACCGAAGGAAAAAGCTTATGTAGGTTTTCTCCACATTGTCCATATAGATATTGTTTTATGTGCTATTTAAGAATAAAAAAAATACTACAGATTATTGATTGAACTGCGGTATGGAATCAAAAATCGATTTATTTTCTTATTTTTGTTAAACACGATACATAAGTATAACAATAAAAAGGAAAGTAACAATGTTAGATTCAGCAAAGTGAAGTTCGATGCATGTTTTAAATTAGTATTGGTTGATATCTGATAGTAATTAAAATATCACTGTCGTAAAACGCTAAGATATCGCGTGCATATGAAACAAATTTAAAAAAAATTAAACATATTTACCAGCAATTGCAAGATTTTTAAATTAAGAAGTAAATTACTTATAGAGAACTAGTCACCGGCACGTTTATCTTTTATAAAACTTATATTGCATTTGCTTTATTTTGAAATAATTTAGAATGATGTAAATAAATCTGTTACTATACAATAAAATACAAAATTTATTGATTATTAGCTTTAATAAGTCCAAGTCCCAGTTACTCCTAAAACTAGAAATTTCGGATAATTTTTTTCACCTCTAAGTACATTGTATTAAATTAAATTTAATATAGTATTAAAGAAATTAAGGATTTTGGAATATATTAAAACATTGAAAAAGTAAAATAAAATATTACTCCATGATATTTTTTTGACCCAGCATTATTTAAATATTTAAGATGATTTCAAAAAAGTATAATATCTGTTAAATATTACAAGATTATTGACTTAAGAGGCCGATTACTCATAGAAGACAAGTTGTCGAAACGTTTTTTATCAATCGTCAAGTACACAAAAACGCTTTAAATTTTATTTATCTTTGAGCGGATTAGACATTTGGTTACCATACAAAAAATTACAAAATCGAATATTTTCATCAAAAATTGTATGGTTTTGGACTACAAAATCATATATTTCCTAGAAATCTAGATTTCGGATACTTTTTATTTTTTCATCTTAAAGCACATTGTATTAGCTTTAATATAATCTAGGTTTCACAAATTGAAGTTTTTTTGGAACATTATAAAAAATTTTAAATAAAATTGTAGTCTAATAATTTAGTAGTGGAAGTATTAAACTAAGAATAAAAAATAATTTTTGGTATGATTTTGGTCAGCAAGTTAAATTTCTCAATAATCCGTCGTCCAGTATTAGAAAAATTATTTCGAAATAATGTGAAAATTGAAAATATCAACTATTTTATAAGCATTGTGATTTTTTTTAGGACATTTCCTTTTATTACGGGGAGGGAAATTTTTCAAAATTTCTGATAGCTTCAGCTAGATAGGCTTTGTGATCTTTTGTCATGGTAAAACTTTTTGGCTACACATAGAAGTTAATAAATACTTGTTATGTTAAAAATATATTATTACTTTTTTTATTGATTGTACTGTAAAACTACAAAAAACTTTTAGCTTATAGTAGAATAATAAATAAAACTGTGAGAGGGACAATTTGAATGGATATAGGGTAACTCAATAATATAGTTATTATGTAGTTTNAAAAACTTTTAGCTTATAGTAGAATAATAAATAAAACTGTGAGAGGGACAATTTGAATGGATATAGGGTAACTCAATAATATATTATTATATTATAGACGATTCGTTTATTCTAACCCATTCAAATACTTGCAAAATAGAAGAAATATTGGAAATTTATATTTAGTTTCAAGTAATTTTTGTCCATCTCTTATATCCTACAAGATTTTCAAATATAGTTTTGATAATGGAAACATACATATTTAATTGACTTATAAAATAGAAAATCATCAGTTTAAGATTTAACTTTTATAACAGTAATTTGGGATTTATTAGCATTTTTTTATCTTGGCAAAAAGTACAATATTATGACATGTCAAAAAGAAGTGTTTAATCTTTTATGTTCGAAAAATATTCACAATTACATAAAATTAAATTTAGAGATGATTAATAATGAAAAAAAATTAAATTTAAAGGTTTTAAATTTAAACTATCAACTCTTCCAAAAATGTTCAAAAATTTCCAGAAATTTTAGATACGAGCAATATTACATTTAATTCTCTGTAAAAAATGAAAATGAAAAAATAAAAAATGTTTTCATTAAAGAAATCAATTCTCATAAAAGTGATGAATTTTCGTTAATTTCTAATCACATTAATTTTGTTCATTATTGAAAAATTTATGATTAATTTATATTAGTCAACACAGAAAATATTTGATTAATATATTATAGCTATAAATGAAATGTGAACTAGGTCAAATTTGTAGTTGACTGATAGGTCTATCAACACTTCTAGTTATAAATATATATATATATCCAAAAATCAATAATATTAGAGTTCCTTGAATAATAAATGTACGGTTGTTTAAGAATACTAACTAACAGATATATTTAATATACTCATGAATCTAAGTTTTGCTGTTCAATAATATTATCTCTGTGTATAAATACTCATGTGCATTGTTTAAACATAGACAAATTAAATTTTTAAATTGTCTTAATTAACATGTCGATGAATCAACCTCAGTTTTAATAATGCCATTGAGAATAAAATATGTATTGTGTCTATTATATACTTAAAAACTTAACACGTGAATTAATATTTTATTACTAATACGAAAAGTAAACTATTAATCGCTGTTGGAACTTCTGAATTTGTTGGTTGTCTTTATAGAAATTTATATTTTGCATAATATTATTATCTTTAAATTTATTTATAATCGTTCTAAATCACAAACATATAATTTTATTTTAAATACTGATAAAAATCGTAGATACACTAGAAAATTTTTACTATTTAAAAAAAATTCATTTGCAAGTTTATAACATTAGTTTAATTTTTTGTATGTCCATGTTTTGTAAAAAATTTAAATGGATCGTCAAGTTACAAAATGACGGAATCATCTAACAATTAAAAATACTTTTTTAAACATAATGATCTGACAAATCTACGTACTGTTTTTATATCAAATTGTCAGAACATCATGAAATAACCTATATACGTCATTTTGCTAAGAATAATAAGGATTCCATTAGATTAATTTATAGAAATAATAATAATTGATCAATGTATGTATGAATTAATTAATGTAAAGAATCATTGAAAAACAAAAACAAACAATACAGTTTTTCTTTTTTAACATGGTTCAATAGGGTGGCCCTCAAAAATCGAATGTCTTTTTTTTTTTACGCTACCCCTTAGTTTTATTTTAATGGTCAAAAAAATGAGCTGTGCAAAATTTGGGACCGATCCGTTAAGGTTAACCCGTGCCCCCGGGCCTATTAAGTTGAGTCGTAGAGTCAAATTTAATAGAAATAACTGATCTATGTCTCATAACTTTTTTTTCTCTTAACTTAGAATTATAAAAGTAAAACTCAAGTAAAGGAAATTTTACAAGAAATTCAAAAATAATAACTTCAATGTTGTTTTCTCAATAAATAGCCCACAAAAACACTACATGCAGTAAAAAACATGTAAAAGTCTTAAAATACGTTATAACTGATTTTGTTGATTTTTAATTATTTATTTTCATTTTATTTTTTGGAAAACGCATATTCGTTTAAAAAAAGATTCTAGAAGTTTAATTTTTTATGCCAAGTACGATAATTATATTAGATTTATTATTTTATGGACAGTTAATTAATGATTAATTACAAACCTAACAGTTTAATTTAATTGTTATTAACAATTTTTAATTAATTTTTTTTTAAATAATAATAATAACTTTAAAAAAAATATTTTAACAATAATTAAATTATATTATTATAATATATGTATATATATTATAATATATATATTTTGATAATGTACTTTTTTTACAATTAGGGAATTTTTCCGATAATTACTTACTATTTGTAAAACGTATTGTTTCTGTTCTTCATTTGTAGTTAATATATTAATGTAGTCTTAGATTAATTTAATGCCACGCTAGGCTGTATCATTAATGATTCGTAATTTACTTATAGTATTTAAAGCATTTATGTAACTGTTGTTCGCACTCCAAAATGATGGATCAATTTTCAAAAAATCAGTGTTCAGATTAAATAGTTGTAAATTTGATGGTAACTTACTACCAGTTATTTCGTGGGAATAATTACCAATAAGATAAATATTAGTTCGTAATACTTTAAAAGACGCTAAAAGTATTGTACATTTGTGATTAAAACGTATCATTTAATATATAATAATAAACAGGTAAAATATATTTAACGTGTTCACAAATTGTCTGCTGCATTTATACGACACAAATTATGTCAGTTGTCGAAAATAACTCAAATATACTTATCTTTAATAATAATATAATTGGTACTATCTTAAAGTAATTCAGTAAACCAAAATTGATATATTGATACGACAAAATGTAATAACACAATCAATTTTGTTAAATTTATACATATTTTGTATTTAACATAATAATGTTTTTTTTCCTATTCATTTGAATGTACACACGAAATAGCCTATTTTTAATGTTAAAATTCTTGTAGTAATTAATTAATTAAAAAACTGCAATGTCATGCTGAATTATGCAACTAGACTAAAGATTAGAAGATGTTATGATAACTCGTCGCTTATATTAAGTCCTTTTATTGGTTATCATTGTGTAAATGACAAAAGGGTAATGTATTATTGTAATCTGGAGATTACGCTGTTAGATAATTCCAAGACAAAACACGGGCGTCATCTTGTACTGATCATTGAATGGCAGCTAAAATGTTGATCCCCAGTCGGGTTAATTACCACCGAATAACAGGCGACAACCCACACCCCAATCTAAACACAACAATACACTTGTCACTTATTTTACACACAGTTCGGTTCATTCGCCGGAGGCGATCGTGGAATGCATTGTTGTTTGTCATCATATTATATCGTATGAATTTTATGTTTGGCGTGTAAAACATCGGGCAAAATTTACTATCAGCCGATTTTACAAAGTACGTTTGCGGGGG